AAGCGGTATGACACCCGGTGCAGCCGGCTTTTCTCCATCCGGTCATTCGGAGACTGGGATGTCCCCGGGCTATGGCGGGTGAGTTGACTATAACAGAGAATTGATTAAATAACTCCATTCATTTTCTATAAATTTTTTTCATTACAGTGAAGGAGGATGGTCGCCGACGTCTCCTGGCGATCCCCTTGGTGGAATGTCTCCGTCAGGAGCAACACCACGATATGGTGGTGCCATGTCACCAGGTTATTCTCCTACAAGTCCGAGTGCTTTTGGTGCACAAAGTCCGAGCTACTCACCTACAAGTCCTCACTACTCGCCAACTTCACCATCATATTCTCCGACATCGCCTAGCTACAGTCCGACTAGTCCAAGTAAGACGCTTTTGTTTTTATGAGGAGCAGTTCTGTGATAGTGTTCTTAGGTTATTCACCCACCTCTCCATCGTACTCTCCTACATCGCCATCGTACTCTCCGACTTCGCCAAGTTATAGCCCAACAAGTCCCAGTATGTTTTCAACTTTTATGTCTTGTTGTCTAGAAAGAATCTGTAAAATGTCCGCCTTTGAACGATCAGAACGAGCTGTTCCATTTACCCATTTTAGGTTACTCTCCAACATCTCCATCATATTCTCCGACTAGCCCGGGCTACTCACCGAGCAGTCCTAGATATTCTCCAACGTCTCCCACATATAGTCCTACCAGTCCCACGTAAGTTCTTTATTTTGGCGTTATGGTTGATGTGGTTCCATCATATATCTCCAGATACTCGCCCACTTCTCCCACTTACTCACCGACTTCACCCACATACAGCCCGACGAGTCCTAGTTACGGTGGCAGCGGATACAGCCCGTCAAGTCCTCGGTAAAGCTTTTTTAAGAGTTTATAGTACGTTCTGTGTATGACATCACCTGTATTTTTTGATACAGATACTCGCCGACATCACCCACGTATTCCCCCACGAGTCCGACTTACAGTCCAACATCGCCGCAGTACAGTCCCAGCAGTCCGCAGGTAAATTCATATACTTTATGTCAATGCATAGCTCAGTT